AACTACGTGTAACTTGATACAATATAATATGCAAGTAACTTGACTTAATTTAAAAAGAGAAGTGTGGAAGACCGATCGATATGACGGGTACACCTAGAAAAAGAAGAGCACTTAACAAGCTATATGTTGAAATGAGACATTAATCTGTGATCCTTCCAGTCAATTACTGTGTCTTTTCCTGTCGCCACTTTATTAATACCCTTAAAAATAAAAAACTAAAAAAGAGGTGACTTTAGTACCACATTGTACACTATGGTGGTTTAATGTTTAATTACATTTATTGGTGATGGACCAACTCAATTAGGATTTGATGTGATTGCGACCCCCCCCCCCCCCTAATTGAAGATTTAGGTATTCCATAAAGATCGATAGAATCAAAGTTTTTTTAAAGTGAAATTTTCTCTGATTTATCTGTTTTTCTCTTGTATAAAACTCATATTATTAATTTAAGCAATACTCATTATATATAAGTGATTATTAATACATGATTAGTATAATCTATTAAAGAAATTTTTTTTAAAAAAAAATTAATAAAAGGGTTTTGTAGTGATGTTGATTGGCTAACTCTTGTAGTTTTTTTTCTTAATATTAATCATCTTGTTGGTAAGAAAAATGAATGTGACAGTTGACATCAACCTTTTTTGTATAATATTCGTGTGTCCATTATATATGGTAGCTTTTAATTCAATGACTTTTGATTATGATGGATAACTAACCAAATGATGCGATTTTAGCGGATAAAAAGTGATAGTGAGAAGAAGTAAATCGTAGCCTAATGATATATCTATGTCTTCTCCTATATATAAACTTCATTGTGCAAGCTTTACTTGTTTTTAGTTCGATCAAAATCGTTCGTATATATAAAAAAAAAAAAAATTATTGAATGTGATCAAATATTGAAGCTTATTTAATTCAACATAGACACAGTGCAATTATTCATCTTGAGAAAAAAATTACAAGGAGAATAATGGTTTTTAGTTTTTACCATTAGCTGAATCTAAAACCAATTTTGACAATTTTTTCACACGGTAGGCTTTTCCAAATTAATATTACTCCTTATAATACCCAAGAACCATAATAGCACTTTTGAACTATAGAACTTTCTAATTTTGTTTTTTAGAAAAATGTTATTTACATATAAAAATTTAACCTAATTTGTTGACGTAATGATGTAGTTTCATTGAAACCATTAGATCAACAATAAGTTTCAATATTTGATGGAGTTCACAATCAACCCAAAAATTATAGTAAATTAGATTAATAAACTATATCCGAATAGTATTGCTCTTTTTTTTTTTATCTATTATGTACTACAATAGATATGACATTTTTAAGATAAATTATACTTTACCTTAAAAGATTTTAAAATTCTCACTTTATACCTTTATAGCTTAAATTTTTTACCTTACACCCTCAATGTATCAAAAATATTACAATATAATTTTTTGTTAGCTTTTCATTAATTTTTTCGTCAGTGTGAATGGATTAGCTTTTGACAGAAAAAATAATCAAAGGTAATAGAAAAAATAATCGAAGGTAAAAAATAATGGTGTAATGTGAAAATTTTAGTATTTAAAAATGTAAAATAAAAATTTTGAAACTTTTCAAAATACAAAGTACAAAAAACCCTTTTTAAAAATAAAAATCAAATATATTTCACTAACTGTTTTCTACCTTGGGAGTCCTCTTATATATTTTGAGTCTTCCTTGTATTTATGATCGGTGATTTGCTATTGAAATATACTGAGAAAAAAATACATTAGAGAGAATCTTACTTCAACTAGAAAAAAAAAAGAGTTATCATGTGGCGGGTGTGAACTGATTGAAGATTATATTCGAGTATAATTAATTACGTAACCACTCTAATAAACTCACGTCGCTAAACATTTTTTATCTTTTGGAAAATGTAGGACGTTAGGCAACGTGTCAATAAAAACTTGACACGTAGATACCCATAGTTGTCAGAACGCTTACAATTTGCCAAGAGGAGCTGTGCAAGTCAGATACTCCAAGGGTAAAGTATACTGCTCGAAACCTAGCATTAAATGAAGTATGACAAGTCATTAATGTGAATTGTGTTAGTATGACAGACCATTAATAATTGTCTAATCTTCAAAGAACGTAAAAACAATCAGCATCACAAGACATTAATGGCTATTAGATCGAGAGGATCTAATGTTTTCCATAAAGGCTCGATTATGGGCTTTGAGTACATGTGTAGAGCACTTGACGGGTGAGGATCGAACCATGAATACTTGACAGGCTCCCAAGAGAAGATTCAATTGCACAGGCATTTAGCATTAACGAGACAATACAGAATAACACTCATTATGCTAGATTGCAATTTTAGGCCATTAAATTCTAGGATGAGATTCTGAATAAGAGGCATCATTACGAATAAGTGTAAATACCTTTTCAAAAATTAAACTAAGGTGCGCAATCTGAATCAAGAATATACTCACAGCTTTCACTTGAATACCGACTAACTTAAACATCGAAGAAAATTAGTTGGGTATACACACGATTCTCGATTCTTTTTCAGTTTTAAGTTTACCATTCACGATCATTTAAAGGATTGATATCTCAACCCATTACAGGAATTTTCCGTACAAAAAGCTACTAGATGTCAATCCAAACCCTTCCAAGTAAAATTGGTGGAGTCCGATTCAAGGAATGGGTGCTGGTTTTTCAACTCCCATTGTACTAATCCATCAACATCTGAGACTAGGTTGTGATTTGTCACCCTAAGAACAATTTGGGGTCGTGTTACAACATTTTCTCAAAATTTGTTAAAATGTAAATCTTGTGCATCGTACGAGGCATCGGTAATACATAAATGATTCTTGGTTAAAAAAATAAATAAAGTAAAAAGTAAGTCACCTACCAAATCCTGACTTTATTTGGACAAAATTACCTTAAGAAATTCTAGTGTTCCCTCTACTGCCTTCAAAATTATCTTTAGAAATAATCATATCTAGTTGGTTCACTCAATACCACAGCCGGTTAACAACAAGAAGAGCATGCTTTAGTGATTCAGTGGCTGGAAATCAGTTTGAACAGAGGCCCATGGTCACAGTCACTACAATGGAAAATACTATCGAATCAATCGAAATGCGTAGGGACGGGGTGGATAAGTGGGTCCAATAGAAGGAAAGAAAAAAAAAAAATTAAATGATAGGAGTGTCAATAGGGTTATATCTTATTATTTCTATGTCTTATCAATTTTGATCGTATTATTTTTATGTTGTGTCATTTTTAATGTATGTCGTATTCTTGTTAATAAAAAAATATTTAATTTTAAAATAACTCATATAATATTATTCAAAAAATCATAAAATATGTATTTTATTTTTTTTGTCTATAATACTAGTAAAATACCTATTTTCTATATATAATACATGTTAATTGTGTCTAACCTTAATTTGACACATTAATTATTCGTGTCATTTTTAAATTTTGTGTTGTGTCGGGTTCCTATTAACACTCCCATTAAATGAACTCTTTCACCGGGTACTGATCCATGGGTTCAAATTCATTTGGGATACATAGAATATTTTAATAAATCCTAGACGCATTATGCGTGGGTCATCTACCCCTAAAACAAATATTAGAGCTGATTTGGAACATAGAAACAAATGTAATATACCTACCTTATTAATTCTCTCTCTCTCTCTCTCTCTCCCTCCTTAAATCAAAATCACAACTGGAATATATTCATATAATTGGGAATTTTTTTTTACAAAAATTGATTGAAAATTATAATATTTCCATATCCCTCATTACACTTTGTCCCTTATATTCTTACCGAATGTTTTACTTGTAATAGAAATTGAAGAAAAGTGTTGTAGGGGATTCAAATCTCTAGAAAAAAAAAGTAATTATTTGTTTGATATTGATTATCCATTGAAATTCAATTTTTTTTATTAAAAAAATTGATTTGTAAATTTCAAAGACATTCTATCACTTATAAATCATATTAAAATCAAGACAAAAAATCCCATAAACCAATTGCATTCAAACAACAGACAATTTACAAAGGTATTTTCCCCATTTTGAAGGGTTAAATTGCGAAACCGAAAAATATATTTTTAATTTATTTTTTCACTCAATTATAAGATGATACGTAAATAATTATAAATATTGATTAACGAGTAAATATCAACCATGTCTCGTGGCCTCTGAGGTAACGCTAGTCACACAGTCCTAACTATGTGTTCTGAATGCCACGGTAAAAATAACCACCAAGTACCAAATAATTACGACACCATGCCTTTGGTCATTAGGACATAAATCTCCATGCCACCTGTCCGCACGGAAGTCCATTGTTGAGTAAAGCTATAGGGATACTATGGTAATTACATATCGTAATCTCAGAGTCTCAAGAGAGCCCATGGAAAAACGTCATCCAATGGCATTTCGGATAATTCCCTACAACCACAGGGGCATATTTTAAGTACTCACGATATATGTACCTTGAACTCCGGCACTTAACCACTCTTCCTCTCCCCTCCTATAAGACCGCAACCCCCTCCCTTCCCCTCTCTTCTCTGCTCTCTCTCTCTCCGGGCGGAGACACCTCTTAGACCACCGTCCTCAGACCTAGATCCACCCGTATCGTCAGATTCTGTCCACCTCCCCTCGATCCCTCTTCACCTCACAACCCTGCTACATACCCCCTCTCTCTCTCTCTCTCTCTCTCTCTCTGTAACATTTCCTGTATTTTCCATTTGTTTTTGTTCTTTTGTCTTTTTTCCAAAACATAAAATTTGTTTTTTTTTTCATTTTCCACCCCTGGTCCCTACCGTATTTGATTCCTGCTCCCTTTACGTTTTAAACCCGGTCAGTCTGTTTTCAATTTGAAGTTTTTTAAACTCTTTTCCCGGTTTTGCCCTTTTATTTTGTTTTTGCAAAATATCATGGTTTTTGACGGTTTTAACCTTTAGAAACCCAGATAGTGCTTACGTGGTGGAATGCATTAAGTCCCAAAACGGACGGCTAGGATGAGTCACCACCCACGTCAAGTCTTGAGTCCTGGGGCGTCGCGAAAACGCAAAGAGAGAGAAGCATTTTACTCCGTTAAACCGTTAAAACAAACGGTGAATATTTCTGTTACTACTACGACGTCGTCTAAAGCAGCTGAGCCTGTTTCGTCTAATCGGCTTCTAGCTGGATACATGGCTTACGAGTTTTTAACAAAGGGTACTCTGTTGGGTCAGAAGTTTGACCCGGCTCGAGCCGGGGCTGTGCCGGTTGTCGCAACTGAGCTGAGGAGGCATAAGCAGGTGCAGAGTCAGAGTTCGGAGGCCGAGCCGAGCGGGAGAGTAAAACCGGGTCCGAGTCAGACTTATGCTGAGGTAGCGAATTTGATGAAGAGTGATGGGGATGGGGTCCACATACCGGGGATTGTCAACCCTACGCAACTCGCTCGGTGGATTCAGATGTGACATGCGCGTGGGATTACGTGGAAGGATTTCATTGGTTGGACGTTTTGCTGGTCCACCTAAGAAATAGTGCAACCTCCCCTACCGTATAGAGATCTCCTTAGGTGGTGAGTCGTTGGTGCACAAGCATCTCTCTCTTTTCTCTCCTCTCTCTCTCTCTCTCTCAAATATCGGCCAGACGGGAAAACCAATTAGTGACAGATTCCGGCAATCCTTCTCTCTGTTTTAAGTCTCCCTCTCTCTCTCTCTCTTTCCTGTATATTGTTCTATCTCTGAGTTGATGAGAGAGAAAACCTGTGCTGTTTGTTGTTGTTGTAGTTGTTATGATGTTTTTGTTTATCTGTGCTTTTCATTTTATCTTTGTTGCTGGTACAAGTATGTTGATATACTTAAACCTCTCGTTGTTTGTTGGTTTTTGATGATGCATGCATGTGTGTGTCTTTGTAAATGGTGGTAGTATATGACATAACAATAGCACTTACTTGCATGTTTGCATGCCTCAAGGGTATAATGCAATGTGTAAAATGAAGGTATAATACATGTTTACTAGAGGGTAAACATGGGTAAAATGTTTGGCTGTGGATGGGCAATTGGACATACATGTGGTTGAATGTGCATTTTTTAACGAGTAATGCTATTACGATCAAAAAAATTAATTTAATTTGTTGAACTAATGATGTGACAATGTTCAATAATGTTGTTATGATTGTAATTTTTTCATTAGGACGTACTTGACTCATTATTGTGTCAGCAAATTAATCAATTTTTAAGTCACAATAACATTACTCTTTTCTAACGTGAACATGTCCTATCCCAAATTTAGAGACATAATATATTATGAGTGTTGAATTGATAGTGGAGTACATTCGATGTTGGGCTTACTTAATAGTCACAATTATTATGTTCCTAAATTATGTCTGAAGAGAATTGTTCCTTTGACAATGTTCGTAAAAACTGAAGGAGATTCGAATTTACACAAATTTACACCTCCAATTGCATCTTCCCACACCATTTGCTCGTTAATTTGCATTGTTCTTATGTTACTATTTACTCACCGCCGTGCACCACCTTGAATTATAGCTTATCCTTTGTGAATATGTCATGAAATTCACGATGAGGGTTCCAAACCTTCTCTATCCCACATTGAGATTTTATAAAAAGGCCGGCTTGGGCATGTTCAACTTCTTCGATTAGGTTACCACGTGGGGCTTGGTTTAGTTGAGGATGTGATTCGATTAGTTTCCATACGCTTTTAGGCATCTTTTCTAAGTTTTGCCCCAAAAGTCCACTGTGAATTGAGAATGTGTCATTGTGGATTCATAGATTGAACTTGACAGATTTCACTGTGGAAAGACCTTCACGACACAATCTACCTCAATGCATTTGTTCAATCGAGTTGCCAAGTGTACTTCGAAACTCTTTTCCACCGCTTCGTAGCCAATGCGGACATTTATAGATGCAAGGCCTCGGAAACCTACTCTCTCTCGGGGATAGTGCTCTTCTTTTGATTTCTAAGTCGCGATGTTAAAGAAACTTGAGTGAAAGCATTACCTGCTAACAATCACAGAGATGAATCAGAGCTGACAGGGCTTCCCTCTTTCATCGGGGATTCTTTCAGTGTTTCTTTTTTTTTTTTATTTTTTGGGGGGAGGGGGGGGGGGGGGGAGTCGGGAGTAATGCTATAGTTTTTCTAAGACTTATAGAGGTATGTGTGTGAATTTGTAGATGACACACGTATAAATTGGTGCATCAGTTGTCTTGTTGAGTTGTGTAACCAAGTTGGACCTGAGGGTTAGTCGGAGTAGCAACATCCTCCATAACTGCACTTGTTTGTGCAGGTTCGACTCCCTCCCGGCCTTTCCCAGTAGTAATATGACCCAAAAAGAATAAGTTATAATCGAGTTGAGGTGAAGGAGTGATCCAGTAGTAATGACTCACTTCTACCCGCATGTGATCTTACCCGCATCCCCAAAACCAAGTAGAGTGTTGTTGAAGATGCCATAGTAGGATTTTTTTGAGAATCTAGAATAAGGATGGTTCCAATAGGTCGAGCTTTGTGAATTATATGAGTTTGACATGTGGATGAAGACTATTTTGCAGAAATTAGACTACTTTTGGAAGACTGTTCACTTGTTTTGGCTGACAGTACTTGGAATGATCCTAATATCTAACTATGAGTTTGGCTATGTTTCTATGAATTCTTTGGACACCCGTTCTTGGGGTCCAATTTTTAAGTATCCATCATCTTCATATTAATTTGCACATCCGTACACCAACATAGAGTCCAAGATTGGATGCAGTATGGACTGTGCCTTTGTAATCGCCGTCACAAAAAGAACGACTTATAGGTTGGATTTAACTTAATAATTGATTTAGTGGGAAAGATCCAAGCCAATGTGGATAGTGTGGGCTGTTGTAAGAGTCGATCACAGAAGTGTGGAAGTCACGCATGAGACAAGTATGAGTTTGAGTAAGTACACATATAAGACTTTTGAATATCTTTCTCTTGCAAGTCAATTCTCATTAGTGAATTCTCTATTCACGGGTTCATATCAATAGAACTTGATGGCTGTCAGGTGGCAACATCTTCAGACCAAAGGAAAAACTTTTAAAGTGGCAACACCCCAGATGAAGAACCATGTTGCCCCAACCCTCCACCCCCCCCCCCCCCCCCCCTTTCCTCTCACTCCGCGAAATGCATGTGTGTGGTGGGAGGGGTTTAGGGTGTAGGGGGGGGGGGGGAGTCGAACATGGCAATGGAACCTTCACAAAACGTAGCTTCTTAGTATTTCTCTACTAAATTTAGATTACAGTTTGTTTTGATTTGGATATTTCAAGTGTTTCAGATTTCCTTGTGTTTCACATTCGTCGCCAACATGGTTGGTGGTGTCACTGTTTATTTTATGATTAAAATAAACAATAATAATACGCTGATCAAATTTTAGAACCAAATTTAGAGTTCAAATGATATAACAGCTGACTTTGACTTTTTTATTTGGTACCATGTCATTTGGACCCTAATAAAAACTTCAAATAATATGTTATCATGTCATTTAAGTTCTAAATTTAGTCCTAAAATTTAGTCAGAGTAAAATTGTGACTCACTAAGACACTACAATGTATACTAATACTATGATTGAAATATACTAGTGGTTATTGACATACGAGATTAATTTTAGACATGGGTGGGGTCAAAACTGGCCCACCTTAAAAGAAAAATGTAATATTAGTGACGTGTTTATTTTAGTAGTGCCCACCCATGACCGAATATGAGAATGAATCCACTATTTGTTTATTTACACTTCTTGGGTCAACCCAATTTTTATTTATTTACCTTATTATTATTAGTCCTACTTTCATATAAAATTCTTTTCTATTTAGAAATATTTTATTTGTTAAGTTGGTATTATTACATTGCTATGTTTAAAAACTTCATTGTAGCAACCCAATCCATCTTGGGTGTTGTTGATTCTTAAAGTCACAGATATCTTACTTTAATTGCAATGCTATGTTTGTCAAATATTTTTTATTTGCATCTTATTGCAAATTTAATTTATTGTTTCTTATTTTATTGCTTGATCCTTGATTAATTATGAATTGCTATTAAGTACCTAATTTTGAGTGCCTGTAGTGAACAAAATTGTCATGGTCAATTATAAATGGTTTAAAATTGACCCATTTTTTTTTTGGACCCATTGTAAACACAGGCTTACCACTTTTTTTAGGCATTTTTTTCTTTAAGGAAATCTCAAAAGTATTGAATATGAAATATTAAATTATTAAAAGGTAATTCGTGTTTGAAAGTACAGTACAACATAAATGAGAAGTGATAATTTTGGGAGAGGAGAAAAATTCAATATAAACGGTTTTGAAAGAGATATTGGTGGCCGTTGGATAAGTCTATTTAAGACCGTCGGATGAATTTATCAAAGTCTACCATGTTTTATATTATAGATTATAAATGGAATAAAAAAAATTAAAAGTTTGTTGAAGTGTCGGGTGCCCACTTGGAAACAAATTTCTAGCTCTTCCCCTGATTTTCAGAGTGATTCTTTAACCTCCACTTGTGTCATTTTCCTCAATGTCCAATTATAGCTCCTCCTACTAGGGTAATTCTATGGTGTCGGGAAAAAAAATGCAGCATTGTACCGAAAGTTATTCTTTTTTAAAGTTAAGTTATACATTTTAGAAGACAAGTTATAACAGTTTGTAATAATTTATAATCAATCATGAAATGTTGTGATCAATCGTGAATATCCTCTATCCTCTACTTAGTTATAACTTCACCTTAATTTAAAAAAATATAAATTGATTTTTAAAAGTTATAACTTTAATTATTTATATTACACTAATATTGTATAATTGATCATACCTTTTGCAATGATAAATTATACTTCAAAAAATTATAATTTGACCTTAAAATATTATAAATTTTGGTACCAAATCATAATATTTGGCTTAGTTCTATGGTGACCTTTTATTAAACGCGACCCTTTGTCCATTCTAATAATTGATTTAAAATTCGAAAAAAAAAATTATTATTATTATTAAAAATTCTAATTAAATGGATAAAATAATAATTAATTATTAAAATATGAGTCAAAAACGTAAATTTTTTTAAAAAAAAATAAATTTATACTATATATATATATATACACAAATATAACTGGAAGACAAAAAATCTTCCCCTTTTCTTCATTGGAAGCGGCGAGAGAGAGAGAAAGAGAAAGAAAAAAAAAAGTTAGATCTCCTTTCTTCCTTCTCAGATCTATGAAGATTAAATTGTTTAAAAGTTTCGAGCCAAGAAAAGTTACTCTACTCAGCGAGAGCTATGAAACCACATTAAATAGTGTATTTTTCTCTAAAAAAAATATCAAAGATGATAATCTAGGCCTAAGGCTTGAAAAACTAAATTTGGATTTCTTTTGAGTTCTAATATGTAGGCTCACGTTACAAGAGGTAGGATTTTCCCTATTTATATGTAATTTCAACCTAAAATATGA